TGGCCTGGCTCGGTGCTTGGTGACTGGACGTGCCAGAGCCTTGCCCTGCCCGGCCGGGCCTCGCCTTGTAAACTCGACACGCAGAGGATTTATGAGATGTGTGCGAAGGGGCTCGGCTTTCTCCTGCAGTCGTGGGATTTGCTGGTGAAGCCTCGGCACCACCTCGTCTTGCCGGGCGTGGGGCGGCGGGGTGTGTGCGGCTGGGTGCTCGGCGGGTCGCCAGTGGGTTCCGCAGACGGCAGCTGCTCTTGGAGGCGCAGAGGAGATTGGGTCGCCCCACCCCTAGTGATCAGACACCCCCCAGACCCACGAAGTACGTCCCTTCCCCTGCGGTCTGGAGCCAGGGCGGTGGTTCTAATTGTTCCCTGTAAACTCGCGGGGCTTCCGGGGGCCGAGCCCCGGAACGGGGTTCCAGCTGCAGCAGGAGCAGCGCCCTCCCCGCCCAGCTCGGCGGGGACCTCCCGCGGGACGGCGCCACGTCACCCCCGACAGCGCAGGGCCGCCCTCTTGGCCGTGCACTCGAGATGTCAGCGCTCCTCGGGCCGAAGCGAGAGGCGGAAGGTGCCCTCGTGTTTATCCGGCTCTGAGACATGTTCGGTCCTAGGAGGAGAACATCAGTCCCACCGAAATCCCGGAGAGAGCCTCGAACACGAGAGCGTCTGGTCATTACGCGTCTAAGGCTTCTGAAAGCGCGCGTTGACGCGTCTGTCACCTGTCAGGCGCATTTGCATGAAATCAATAGCGCTGCCCATCTATCTTTTCTGATCACCTTTCACCGGGCCGACTCATTAAGTCGAGCAGTCGTGGCGATTAGCTGGCGGGGAGGAGCAGCCCCGACGTGCTAGAGAGGCGCCGTGGGCCGCCGATCTTGTTCCCTAGTCGAGAAGCGTAATACTCTGGCTCGTCCCGGGTCCGAACCCGGTGGCCGGGTGAGGCCCGTCCACCCTGCCGCCTGCACCGCGCTCCCGCCCGACGCCCTCGTCCCGGCCCGGGCAGGGACATGACAAATTGTCCCGCAAGTCAACGCTGACAGCTTCTGATGATTAATGGTTTGATTATGAAGTGGTTTTACACATACAGAATTTACATCATGGGGAGTTAGAAATTTCGCCGTGTCACGCACGCCGAGGCGTTTCGAAGCGCGCTCCTGTTTGCCAGGAAGAAAGGGCAGAACCGCCGCGAAAGCCCATGTCGCGTAAAATCAATATGTCGGATCAATGCGTTATTAACAGGAAAATGTCTTACTTCACATTCCTGAGCGGGCCTTTGTCTCTGGGAGGAGGACGGGGTGTCAGATCACACGGTGGCCCTCAACTTCCGGGCGCGTTATTGAGTGCCCGCGGAGCCTTCCGGCGCCGCTCACGAGACCCGCCGTGGGTGCTGACACCAGCAGCCCCAGCACTCGAGGATGACGGCGGCCAATTATTTCGGAACACGCCTTCGGAGGCGGCCCCGCGCCTCGCCCCTCGCAGCCGTGGCCTTTGTGTTCCCAGCCGTCCGCGGGCCTGCCGAGTCGGGGGGCGGCAGTCGTCACATTATGTGCTAATGAGTGATGGCCCGAACCGCAGGCCGAGTAATGAATAGATGGCGGAGGGTCTTATTAGTCTGAGAAAAGCCCCTGATTTATGTCACGCCGTGCACCGTGGCGTTACTCCCCAGAAAACGGAACCTACATCAAGAAGTAATGTACTCTAATAAGTATTTTCATCTTAACGCGCGTCCCCGGGCCTCCGGGCTCAGTTTTTGTTGGAGTCAGGCAGAGCCATAATAAAGCCCAATGGCTCCTTATAAAGCTTGTTAAACACAGAGTGTGCATTCGGACGGAGTCCCGGCCGTGATTCATGCACTGTACACAGCGCGCGTGCGGCTGATTTATGGCCGCGCACAGTTCATAGTCAAAATTACAATTTGAGGGATAAAAAGATTAATTACTATTTGTGGCCGGCAATTTCGTGAGGCTGGTGGAGTGATAGTGCCCTACATCAGTTTGTAGTCAGCCATTCGCAGATTATTAAAGCTTTGCAAGAGTAAGTGCTCCTCCTGCCTGGTCTGTGCTCAGGCAATATGCTAGACAGAAAGGGGGCCACTGGGATAAATCTGAAGCTAGCAATAGCTGGACATATGTCATCATCGCCAGCTCCCATGCATCCCGGGCCGGCGCGGAAGGCCCCGTGCGAGGCAGTGATCGTGACGGCGGTGACTCCTGCCTGTGGCCCCGGGACCTGCACTTTGCCGACCACACTGCCATTTTTACAATATATCGAGTAGCCCTTTGACTTTCCTCCAGGCTAATTATAGATCAGAAATAATCATCGTGGCGCTTATGTGCAAGAGAGAGGGGGCAAACCCATTCCTTAGGGCAGAACTGGGGCTCAGGGGCGCTCGCCCCGCAGAGCGTTGGAAGAGGGGACTCACACGCTGATTTGTAAGCGTGCAGGAAACGGGTAATGGGTGACGCAAAAGGGATCAACCTGACCTCTGTCTCTGTGTCCTGTTGTAG